AACATGCACAATATATAAAATGAAAACATTCATTTCATGAATTTATCTTTGTTTGTTTTTTCTTGTGATGAGTTTTGTATTTAATTAAGAATGTTGCTTTGAAAGTACAATGGTAAAATAAGGAAGAGAAAGTGAGAGAAGAAATATTTTTCTCTCCCAACTTGTAGATTCAAAATTTCTCCTCATTAGAATATAAGTGAAATAATTTTTAACATACATTTTTTGTTTGTTTTCTTTTGTTTATGGTGAAAGGAACTGACAAACAATAAAAAATTGAATTTTAAATAATAAAACTTACTGAGACAACTGAGACAATAGCAAGAAACAAGAAAAAAGGTATTGTAGAAAGAAAGGAGTTCAAATTATATTGGACAATAAAAGGATTTTTGCTGTGATACACAGAAAATTAGAAGATGCATTAGGTGGACTGTCTACTTAACATGAACTATTCTATAGGTCCTTTGAGCCCAAACCATTGGCTCAGTGAATTTAGGCATTTTTTTTCCCCTTCATCTTGGCCCACCATATTCTATATTGGTATCTGAAATAATCTTATGTTCCTTCATAAGGCAAACTCTTATTTTCTTGAAGGCCTCTTGCAAAGGACATTTACTAGAAATTGCCAGACTTCTATGGAAGGTTTAGGCATTCAAGTGGAAGATAACATTTGTCCCCATTTAACTAGACAGCTGTCTTTTTTTTCTCCTAACATAATACCAGTAGTATGCAAATAAACAAATAAACAAATAAATGTAAGACATCTGGTGACCTCTTTCTACTTGAGTCACAATCCATCTGTAAGTCTCTGATGAGGCACATGCATAAGACCGCTGTGGTTAGAAGAAAGAATTATCAAATAGAGTTTTGCCTTGTGAGTGCAAACTATATTTACCACATTTAAGCTAGCTCAGCATATTTGTGGCTTTTTTCCTTGGTTTCACAAGACAGTTGAAAATATTATTGAGAAGCAGTATTGTTTCTATTTCATAAGTGGAGGATGTCATTGTTTTGCTCAGTGCATAGCAAACTATGGAACTATTGACATTAAAAGATCGAAAAGAAGAACCAAAATTGGATGTGTGTGTGTGTGCATGTGTGTGTGTGTATGTATGTATGTATGCATGCATGTATGTATTTATGTATACTGTATCTCACAGAAGTGAGTATACCCCTTCACATTTTGTAAATATAATAGTGCCTTATTTACTCCAGTGCTGTAGGATACTAGGATATTAATCTTCTATATTATGCAAAAGCAGAATTTTTATGGATATATAAATAAATATATACTGTATGTTTGTGTTTTGTGACTGACCACTAAGTAAGCAACTTTGTAGACTAGAACTTAGCTTGACTATTAAGCACTGTCCTGGTATAGCTTTGGTTGGCCTAGTTACATTGTTGCACACAAGATTCTTCAAGGATAAAGAACAATTTGGGGAGAACAAAGGGTCACACATTTGAATTAGGTAATTAGAAAGTCTGTAAGGAGTAGAATTTCTTCCATTGGAATAAATTATCAGTTTGACAGTTTGAAAGTGCTAGTTTGTAAGTGACAGATCAGATGATAAACGATGGGGCCTTTGGCTTTCTAGCTGAAGAAGCAGAGGTCAGAGCTGTAAAACGATCAAGTGGTACTTTAACTAGACAACTGATCTAATAATAAAAGACTGCAGAAAACAATTGACAAGAGCAAAGTTAAGCCAAAACCCTCATGCTTAAATTTCATGAAAAAGCATAAGAGAGCTAAAAGCAAAAAAAAAAAAAAGGCTTGTGCTGCATCTGATCTTGTGGATATGAATTGATAACGTCAAGTTCAAGAAAATCTGAAGAACTATTCCTGCTATTATTCATTGAACAAGATCAAAGAAACTCCTTTAAGTTTACAAGAAACTTGTCTAAACTTATATGATAGTGAAGCTTTGGCAATGTTCTGTTTCAAATTAATACTCATTTCATGATTTTTCATAATAATGTCATTTTTTCAGTTTCCCAAGCTACAGTGTTGATTAATGGTTGTTATTGGCTGACAGCAGGACACCTAAGTTCAAGTTTGCTTCCAACCATGGAAGTAGTGAGTTTGGGCCTATCTATCTATCTATCTATCCATCCATCCATCCATCCATCCATCCATCCATCTATCTATCTATAATCTATCTGTCATCTACCTACCTATCTACATCTATCATCTATCTATATAATTTGTATGTCATATGGGTTCCAATGACTATGTTATTCACAGCAACTAAAACAAGAAGAATATAATTTATAATAAATGAAAAATAAATGGAATAGAATGAATAGAATAGAATAGAATAGAATAGAATAGAATAGAATAGAATAGAATTTTTATTGGCCAAGTGTTGGACACACGAGGAATTTGTTTTGGTGCATATGTTCTCAGTGTACATAAAAGATACATTCATCAAGAGTCAAGTATGACAAACCAGGCTGGAACAAAGCTAAGAAATTACACTTTCCTTGACAAAGACCTGACTAACAATTAAGTATTCAACTCTCTACTAAATGACCATCTGGACATCAGAGGAAGCTTTTTTCAGAGGGCCTCTTCAGAGAGGCTATATGTCTGGTATCCTGATACACGGTTGAATTGAACGACTATAAAATTGAAATGGTTGGGCAGATATATGGGAGACAGTCCTCAAGTAATAAGGCCCTATGCCATAGTTTGTTTTTGTGGGGATCATCTGAAGAATTGTTATGCCACTTTACTTTCTGAAATAGAGATTTAGTTTAATGACAATTAAAGTTTTGCATTTTGATATAAAATAAAATATCAGATAAAGTAAATATGCCCATCTGTCCATCCATCCATCATCCATAATTCAACTTAATCATGCCACCCATGAATTATTAAGTTAAATACCAAATGAAAAAATGTTTTTAAAAACCATAATTATCCAAGATGCTTTTTATTTCACTTTCAAAAGAATTGTTAGGCCTCTGACTGTACATGGGATTTCCAGTGCTACATACAAAGTTCACTGAATTTTAAGTTACATCACATTGTCATCAGTCATTTATATTTATTCCTTTTTAATCATTCTGAATGCTAATTATCCAGACTTTATTTCAATCTGCATACTTATGATTTTTGCATAAAATAACAACTATGGGTTGGCTACAAATATTTTAGACTAAAAGGGATATTGTGAAATTGGATCTGGTAAAATATCAGTGACTACCTGAAATATCAGTTATGCATGAAAGTATAGTATGAATAAATAAACTGGAGAGAACTACCTTAAGACACAATCTGTTGAAATTTAATAGGCTTCTTTATTCTTTGTTATTTTAAAGGACAGAACCTGATTGGTAATAAAGACTTTGGTTTATCGTCTGCTGAGTATTATCTGTATCTATACCTTGGAACTTGGGACCATCAACAATTATAAACTAACATATCCATGCCTTGTTAATATCAGGCTAAAATATAGAAAGGAATGTTTATGGAGATTCTCAGTCATCTAGGTCATGGTTGTCCCAAAGGTGCTTTTTCAAGGGACAACTGGACTTTCTGGTTTTTCTTTGAAGATGTTTCATTTCTCATCCAAGAAGCTTCTTCAGAGCTTGAAAAAGCACCTTTAGGACTATAGAAAGGAATGTTTGTTAGTTTGAGCTTCTTGGAGCAAAGGTGAAATCAAAATTAATAATAATTAGTAATTTATTATTTATAATTAATAATAAATAAAAATATTGCACATTTAGGAATGTATTTCTATTTGGATTTACTAATTCATATTAACTGAATTAACTATTCAGATTTGATTTTATTTGAAATAAAATATATATTTATAGGACAAGATCAATAGCCTTGTAGATCATATCCATGCCTCTCATACCAAAAGTATATAAATTAGTTTGAAAACTATATATAGGAGCATAAGTTCACAAGATAATGAGTGCTGGTGTATGTCTTTGCATAAGTGATTCTAATTCATGTCTTTTAAATCAAGTTGAGGGAAATCTCAAGTGAATAGAGGTAGAAGTGCTGAAATACAATTACTTTCAGTCTGTCTACTTCTTCAACTATTGACTTGTTCCTTACTTGGTTTCTTTTTTCATTTACATGCTTTCTGTCTTTACTGAAGGGAGCTCTATCAGAACTGTGACATTATCTCCTTGGTGGTCTTCAGGTTTGTTAAAGTTATTGCTTAGGGCCCTCTTACTTTCACTATAGATATAAACCAGCTGTTGTCTGTCTCTTCTTTATTGGGAGATAATTAGTATGTGTCTACCTAAGAATGGAAATCTAAGCCTTTTAAATGCTGCATCAGCAATCCTGCGAGAATTAAACAAACTTGCTTACATAGAAGAAAGAGTAAACAACTTCAGCAGATCTTTCAGATGCTACCATTAATGTCTCCAAAGAATATAAACAGAACTTGTGAAAAATAAAATATGTTTGGGTTAAAGGTGAAGAAAGAGATTCCAAAAGAATGTTCAAATGGCATGCCTCTAATACTAATTTTTAAGTTTTTAAGATTTCTTTCATATAGAAGAGTCTATCATGTCCCATTTTTATGCTAAAAGTTGCATTCCTTGTTTCAGTTGTGATACTTGCCAATATATAAATAGTCAGGGAGAATTTTACACCACCTTGTCTTTATGTCAGGCAGCATTTAATGGTTGAGTGATCTTGTGCCCTGGGTCTTGGCAGCTGTCCTCTAGAGGCCAACTTTTGGGGATTACATTGACAGTCAATCAGTGGACCATGTCCAATGTAAACTAGACTAGGACCATTTAAATTTAGTTACTATCAACAAGTCAAATTAGCTTTATGGAAGCTAGAAGCTTTTTTTGGAAGATTTAATAACAATGTGGAATTTTAACAGACCCTGTCTTATTTCTTGTTTTTGTTTGAGAAACTTTTTAAAGGATTAAATGATGCACTGTTTATCTGAATTGATACAAACATAAATAATTTTCAGGAAATACTTTTTTTCAATTAATTCTATTTTTCCTTACTTTCATTGTAGGTTGAAATAACTCTGCAGGATATCAATGACAATCCACCAGTGTTTCCTACAGATATGCTTGATCTGACTGTAGAAGAGAATATAGGGGATGGATCTAAAATAATGCAGCTAACAGCTACAGATGCTGATGAGGTAAGAAGTGGCTACTTTTCTGAATGGTGAAATTTTGTTGGTGTTACAGTGATTTGAATACCAGGATTTATTTTCTACAATATAACTGAAAAAAATAGAGTTGTTTGGAGAATAGGACATAGAATGTGGTTACTTACCAATTAAAAATGGAGATTGATATAATTTACCACCAATATGTGAAGCTGAAGATTCCCAAACACTTGAGTTAGGCAGGGAAGCTTAAGGGCATGTCTCTTTGCTTATATCATTTGTCTTTTCTTATGCCAACCTTCCTGATCATGATTTATGTGCAGCTTCTTTGCCCATTAACAAAAAAGCTATGCAATCCTGGAAGGCAATTTCAAAGAAGTGTTGTGAATTTCTGAATAAAAAAGTTCTTTCTTGATATCTGTACTGACCTGTGTTTTCTCAACTGTGATATGATTAACAAGACTAATTAAAGGCACAACTAAGGGTTGACATCAGGTTAATGGAACCCAATCAATCAATCAATTATTATTCAATCGGGCACCAAAGGGGACTGGACAAGATTCTCTAACTATATCTCAGGTCATACCCACATGGCCTCACCTCTGAGATAAGGAGTAGTAAACATTGTGGGTTTTTAGAACCTGCATTAGAGTTGCTCAGTTTCAGTGCAAAATAATAAATTTAGAAGACAAAGTAATGAGTTTAAATTACTGTTGATATAGGGAAGAACTTCACCCTCATGTTGGCTGACATCTATTTCATTTGGCTTAATTGCTTACAATAAAAATTTTTTTAGCCAAGTCTTGAAAGTCATGTCAAGTCCTAGCATGAAATCCTAAGATCCATATAAAATTAGGAGCTTGTGATTTATTGTCATTTTGGACAGCTTTATACTTGAAAGTTTTGGTGAAATAATGTCACCTTAAGAGTGAAAATATTATATTTTATATTGATGTTATCGTTATCTGTTGCTGTCACGGATTGGGTATAAGATGAGAACACCCTTGTGAAATCAAGAGAAAAGATTCCAGTAGTCAGGTACGATTATGTCATGATAAACTATAGTTAAGTACAGCATATGAATTTTTCCTTTATACTGTGAAATAAATTCCTGGGTACAAAGAAAAGCAAAACAGCACCAAACTTTTGTTCATAAACATATGGAAAGAAATCACATTTTCAGTTGCATATAAATATCAATTTAAAAATACTTAATGTTTTTTCATTTAGTTCCAAGAAGTTTTCCAGTTATTGTACACAGTTTTTGACACACAGTACGGTACTTTGCACATACTCGGGAATTTTCCTAAGTAAATTCAAGACATTCAAGAATCAAATAGATCATGGGCTGGATCTAGGCTTATTTACACAAAATTCTTACACTAATTTAGATCTTACACTAATTTAATTTAATTTAATTTAGATAGTACTTTATCACAGGATCTGCTTCACTATAAAAGATAATACCTTGTCACAGTGACTTCTATCCATTTTGTTGCCAGGACAAAGATGAAACAGCTACTAATATGATCCAAAAGTATTATTGACATGTTTCAGGTCATGGTTCTTTATCAAGAAACACTTTAATGATTCACTCACTAGAAAACCATGTTTTACATTTTAAAATATGTCTGTTTTAATGCAAAATATATAATTTCATTGTTTACTTCATAGTTTAGATAAAATATAAAATCATCTTAGGTTTTTTTTTTTTTTTCAGGGTGCAAATGCTTTGGTAACTTACACCATTATTAGTGGTGCAGAAGATAGTTTTCATATTGATCCAGAATCAGGTGAATTGATAGCTACGAAGCGGTTGGATCGAGAACGCCGTTCCAAATATTCTCTACTTGTTCGTGCTGATGATGGTCTACAATCTTCAGATATGAGAATCAACATTACTGTTAGTGATATTAATGATCATATACCTAAGTTCTCCAAACCATGGTATTCTTTTGATATAGGAGAAGATACCACTCCAGGTAAACTGAATATGAAATTAACGCTACTATTTTAATTAGTTGAAGTAGATGAATTATTTTTTGAATGTTAAAATTAGATATAGATGATATAGATACAGATATTTAATTGTATTCTTGAATATTTAAGGTAATGTATCTCTATTATCAGAGCTTTATGAAGGAAAAGGAAGTAAATTCAACCAAATTCATTCTATTATTTTTTACTACAATAAAAACATACTAAAGAGACTTGTATTTTGTCTGCAGTACAGTTTAATCCTTAACTTCAAAAAAAGAAGGAAATTCAAAGGCAGGAAGCACAGCGATAGCCACTGATATTTTATAACCTCTCATTATATAAGAAGGCTGCAATAAAAAAAAAACCCAGTATGTTCTATTTTAAAGAAACTGTGCAAATTCCAAAAAAGGGCATTTTGCCAAAAAGGTCATAGCCAATTTTGAAGTATATTTTTCAAAAAACTATTATTCGACTTCAGGAAATACAGGTGTCACTGAGTCGAATTACCCCACATATATCTTGTTTTTTCTCTCTTTCCATTTCTCTCTATGTATCTTTCCTATATTAGAAAAGCAGTTGTTTCCCCAGGTTGGGTTATCTCAAAAATAAATGTTCCTTTACATTAAACTTTTCTTCTTCTGCATCTCAAAGATGTTGCATATTAGTGATCAAAAGATCTTGAAATAAACCCTGGAACCCTTTGCTCATTTCCATAAATCTAATGCAAAGTATTACATACATAATCATTGGTCATCTGTATATGTTTTTGGCTTTGTATTTACAAAATATTTCCATTTACAAAAAGCACTTTTTTTGAGGAAGAGGCATATGTGAGAAAATAAAACCAAAACATTTTTGCCAATTCCCTTCTTTTTTTTAAAAAAAAACAAGTTTTATTCAGTTTTTCCAAACAAAGTAAAAAAGAGCTCTTTTCAATGTACAACATAATTCCGAGTTACCACTTTTGCATGCAAATATGACAGTAATTATATATTCATTTTAACATTCAACTTCCTATCTTATCCATTTTTAACTTAATTCTATTATTACCTGTCCATTTCAACTTTTACATGAGAAAAGGAACAAACAAATTAAATCTATTCATTGATATTACTTTCATTCTAAACATCTTCTCAATTCATTTCAATTTACAATAAATCTTTTCCAATCAGTTCCCTTGCGACCAGATTTTCTTCCTGCTGATTTTAAGCATTGCTTCAAACATCATGGGATGTAACACAGGAAATGAAGCTTTAGGAGAATAGCAACTTTTTGTCATTCTCATTCACTTGAGGTGTTGTTGATCTAAAATAGTAATAGAAGCTCTGATCCCATTTTTTTTCTATTGTTTTCTTTCTCCCTGTTCCCTATTTAGGTTCTTTAGTAGCAGCTATATTAGCTACTGATGAAGATTCAGGCGTAAATGGAGAAATAACATATATTGTGAGTGAAGATGATGGTGATGGAACATTTTTTTTGAACCCAGTTACTGGTGTTTTTAACTTAACCTGTGCATTGGACTATGAAGTACAGCAGTATTATATCCTTACAGTTTGTGCACAAGATGGAGGTGGACAATCCACCATTAACAGAGTTTATTTTAATATATTAGATGTAAATGATAATTCACCAATATTCAGCATGGCGTCCTACAGCACTTCTTTGATGGAAAATGTACCTCCAGGCTCTACTATCCTTATTTTTAATGTTACGGATGCAGATGATGGTACGTATTCTTCAATATTTTAGCAATGTGTATGTTATAGCACAAGTATAGTATTCAGATACCATGGCATACAAAATATAATAATACTCTCTCCTGTAATTATACTAACTGTTCTGTGCCCATAATATACAAGGTCATTGCTAGTTTAATATTGTTTACTCTTTATGATAGTAGCTTTGCAGCACCACAGAAAAAACTCTCCATTCCAGGTTGTGGCATTTTTTAAAAAAAAATATTGGTAGCTTGTCTAGATATACATTCAGGGGTGGGATTCTGCCGGTTTGCACCTATCCGCTAGAACCGGTTGTTAACATTCTAAGCAGTTCAGAGAACTGGTTGTTAGAAGAAATTACTGGCCTAATCCTGTAAGGAAGGCAGGAAGGAAACATTCTGGTGCTGCTTACAGAAACTGCCTCTCCGTTAACCCTTATTACATTCTTGGCAGGACTAGACTTCCTTTCTCTGGAACGTCTCTGGAGGTTTTTTTCCCTTCTTTTGCTGGTACTTTGCTTGTGTTGAGTGAACATTCAAAGTTACAATGGCACTGAAAAAAGTGACTTATGACCATTTTTCACACTTACGACTGTTGCAGCATCCCCACAGTCATGAGAGGCCAGGCGAGGAGATGGGTGCCTCAATGTGAGTGATGTTGAGTTGGCCACACCCAGCCAGTCACATGACCACAAGCCACACCCACCTACTAAGCCACGCCCACAGAACCAGTTGTTAAAAAATTTGAATCCCACCCCTGTATACATTCTCTGTATGAAACTATAAAACTGTCATGCTAGTTCCATTAATGCCATTGCCAAAAACTATAATATAAATACAGTCTGAGTGAAAGTCTTATTTCCATATATTTATAGACATACACACACACACGTGGCTCTTACTTACTGACTATGATTGGGATTGGAAACCTGTTGCTAAGCCTCACAGATGTAAGGCACAATGTCACATGACCATACCATTTTACAACAGCTATTCTTGTAGTCCCAATTACTATCATTAGGTAAACCCCACACAGTTACAGCCTGCAATAATGTGATCATTATATGCAGCTACATATCATCTTATTAATTTCATTGGAAGCTGACAGTGAAGGTTACAATTGGCAATCAAGTGACCATGGACATGCCGTGATGGCTGCAACTACAAAGACCCATTGTAAATTGTCTTCATTTAGCACTTAATAATGTCAGTCTCTGAATGAGTGCATGTTAATCAAGGATTATTTATATTTATTTTATAATATTTATAATCTTTCTAGTGGTTTCTGGGTAGGATACAAGAAAATCAAGTCCAAAATACAAAAGGCAAAGTAAAATTTCAATGCAGCACTTTAAAATAGCACAATAAAAAGCCAGCGATGATGATCATAAGTATCTTACAACTAACCCAATTCAAGGTAAACATACTTGAAGGAAACTGCTTGGAACAAATGTTCAGCCTGATTTCAATATTATCAGTACTTAACAATCCCTTCTATAACACATTGCCCAATTTTTATTTTCAGAGAATTATGCTTGAACAAAGTATGAAATATATATGTAATTAGCATAAAATATATTCAGAACACTTTTATCCATAAGCATCTGTAAATTTTAGAATAATACATAGCAGTGATTAATAATTGAATATTAGAGTTTGAATTCATATTTCATATTCCTTCTTCTGAGAAACGGTTGATTCTTTTAATATCTGATATTTGTTACAATGTGAAAAAGTAAAATGATTAAAAAGGACAAACTAGAAAATAAAAATCCATTAAAAATAAACTTGAGCTTTTTTATATTAAATTAGGTAGATAATTTTTCCACATTATTTATTTAATGCTATGAATGCTTTGCTTTTAGCATAAGGATGTAATAGGTAATGGGTATTAATTTCAGTTCAATATACTACGCATTGTAAAAATATAAGATGACATTTAAACTCAAGAGTTATTGCTGTCTGTATTATTCATTATGAGTTCAAATGTCATCTCCTATGTTTTACAATGTGTAATACATTCACCAGCTTTTATTGCAGTGTTGTGCAGAGGACGGTATAATCTTACTGAAATTAGGATACACAACTTTTCTTTCCTTTATTTATAATAACTGTTTAGAAAGATTCATTTGAATAATTTATGTAGCTGCCTACAGAAATAACTCTGGATGGCTATAAGATATAAGATATAAGAAATGCATCAACTCCAAAGTACCTGCCAACTTCTGTGTATCCAAGGATAAAGTGTCAACCCCAGTCACCACCAGTAGTAACTTTTGATTATGGCACAATCATATAATCAAATACATATTTTCCACATTTAATTGCTAATAATCAAACTGCTGATGAATAATAAAATCTGTTAAAATTAGATATTAATTTTCTTTAAGGAACTGTGTAAATCTAACTTTGGATATTTACTTCAAACAATAATCTGAAATACAATTATTCAGGATGCAGTAGTTCATTCATGAGTGATTGCCTTCAACCTGAAGGTCATGTCCTGGTTTACTTCTACCACATAAAATTCCCTTTTGCCAGTGGAAATATCAACTATCAAAGGAGAGAATATTTTGTTAGTGAAGTGAAACAGTAGATTGGAAAATATGTGGAACAAGGAAGAAACTGAATTATCCATGCCCAAATTCTAGTCATACCAGCAAGATTTCTGTCAGCACAAAATTAAGCTGAACTGAATCTGGTAAGAGTTCTGAAGTGTTAATTTCCATATGGTTTGGATTCAACTTAGATTCAGGCAAAAATTCAGCTGTAACTTGATGGTTTTGCTACATACAGCCTAAACATAGCCAACTGTATTGATAAATGACTTGGATATAGTTGTATATCCAAGATTTGTACTGGAGAGCTAACTAAAAGGCCTGTCTCTCTGTTGATCAATTATACCTATACAAAATCAGTGTTATATCAATATATTTATGATTGTTAATCTGAATTATGCAGTAGGCAACTCTTCTTAACTTTAAGTAAATACTAAATATTTGCTAACCCATTCCATTAAAAAGTTTTCAGATAAAGAAACAATTGAATCAATACAATAATAGCTATTTGATCTGATAAATTTGTTACAATCTCCAACTCTTACTGCAACACTGGATATTGGCTTAAAATACACTAAATTGGGACATTTGCTTAATCAGGACCAAAATATCTTCAACAGGACCCTGATTTTTTTAAAAAAAAAACAATAAAAGACAGATTACTGTAATTTTTCATTTTTATTTATTTATCAAATTTATATAGCCAACTTTCTTGCAGAAAAGTCACTCCAGGCAGTGTAAAACAAAGGTAGAACAATAAATACCAAGCTAATTATTAGCTTTGAAAACATCTCCATAATTCACCAGTCCCTGGGGTCTCCAGGTATGACTGTTCACCCAAGTTCCGACTGACTGTTCACTTGGGTTCCAACTGACTACATCTGGATTCACACAGGTTCTGACTGATTGTTCACCATGTTTCTCCAAGCCTATTTTTTCACTGTTTCTCAGGACTGACTGTTCAATCCAGTTTTGAGGAACCTGTGATAAAACTAGTCTCCCTTCAGGGATAGGGGGAAACATTTCATAATACCACAGCAAAAAATACCTGGTACTTAGGATCCACCAAATGTAGCTATGTATAAATTATATAAATGCAGTCTTATATAAGTTTGTATTGTTTTATGTTTGTAATGATTGGAATTATGATTTTTTTTCTTTTTAACTTCTTTTTTTAGGTTCTAACGCACAGTTGTCCTATAGTATTACTTCTGGAGATAGCCTAGGACAATTTAGTATTGACAAAAATGGTGTTCTAAGCATCAAGCAAACATTGGATCGTGAAAGCCAATCTTTCTATAGCCTGATTGTTCAAGTTAATGATATGTCTTTTCCTCCAGCCTTCAGATATACAAGCACAGCACAAGTATCTATTATTCTTCTTGATGTCAATGACAATCCTCCCAGTTTTATCTCTCCAAGACTGACATATATTCCAGAGAATACTCCCATTGACACCATTATATTTAAAGCCCAAGCAACTGATCCAGATAGCGGTCCAAATAGCTATATTGAATATAATTTATTAAATCCTTCAGGAAACAAATTCAGTATTGGAACTATAGATGGAGAAGTAAGGCTGATTGGAGAACTTGACAGAGAAACAGTTTCTAATTACACCTTGACTATAATTGCCACAGATAAAGGACAACCATTTCTTTCTTCATCTACAGATATAGTTGCAATAATCCTTGACATCAATGATAATAACCCTCTTTTTGCTCAAAAATTATACAAAGTTGAGATTGCAGAAAATACTCTGACGGGGACAGATATAGTCCAAGTATTTGCTACAGATAACGATGAAGGTTCCAATGGGCAAGTTCGCTATACTATAATCAGTGGAAATACAAATAGTGATTTTCGGATCGACTCTGTCACAGGAGTAATAACAATAGCAAAACCTTTGGACCGAGAAAAAATAGCATCTTACTCATTAACAATCCAATCAACTGATCGTGGAAGTAGTCCCCGGATTGATACCACTACCGTCAACATTTTTTTGTTGGATATTAATGATTACATTCCTACATTTGAGATGTCGCCCTATACTGTAAATGTCCCAGAAAATCTAGAAACATTACCAAAGATCATTCTTCAGGTTAGTATATTTTAGCAAGGAATAATAATATTTACTAAGATCAGAATGTATACATTATTGCACACACACACGCGCACACGGACACGCACACACACAAACACAAAGCATATAGGAGTGTCTAACTGACTTTGAGTTAACTTGAAAAAATCAAGCAAGATTTGCCCCAATTAGCTAGACTGTGTTTTGTACTGTCTTCAGATAGATAGATAGATAAATAGATAGATAGATAGATAGATAGATAGATAGATAGATAGATAGATAGATAGATAGATA